CTACGCATGGAATGCCGAATTTATATAAAAAAATTTGAAAATTATTTGATGATGAACATCTCAATGATAGCTAGCCTTTTTGAGTTTTATAATACATACAACTAGTATGGACAGCACAAAGTCAAGCATATCCACGTCGTCGGGGAGCAACCAAATTGAGTGAGGAAAAAGGAGTATGGAAGGGGCTATGCCTCGACGGTGACATTAATATTGCTCAGAATGGAATCTTCTGAAGTGGAACGTGTTCACACTTTGGAGTTTAAACATATTTTATTATTTCAGCATGGAAGGTTACCAGCTCCGTTTAGAAATTTGAAGCTTAATTACGTAAATAGCCTTCCACTCATGGAGTCTCGCGCTGCACGCGAATTTTGAATTAGACGTTGGTTTTTCAGATGAATTGTTGCGTAATTAAAAATATGCGACATTAAATATAATACAAAAATTAATTACAGTTCTTCAAGCATATTTTGTATTAATTTTTAATTAAAATTTAAATCTTATTTTAATATTATACACAATTATATATTAATAAAAATTATATTAAATATAAATATATACTATTTAAGTAAATTTTTTTATTTTAATTGAAAAATAACATCAATCATACATTAAAAAATTATACTCATGTTTTATCCTAATATACATTTTTAACATTTTAGATATAAACCTTTAAATTGAAATCTTTACATCACTTATATCAATTATTATAAAGTTTTTTTATTTAAGTTTTAATTTTGAGTATGTACTTACTGTTTTTCTTTAAATATTTGAGAGTAGATTTTTGTATTTTTAATAATATACTTTACTTAAATATAGTTATCTTTGATAAAAAAAAATACATATTATTTAAATATAAAAAACCTTTGCATTAATCCGTTATGAGTGTAATTTCGAGTGTCAACCTTTTTTATTTTTAATTTTGACCCACATTTAAAAGTTTTAATTTGGAATAAATTTAAAACAATTTCAAATAAAAATTTTAGTATAATATGAAAGTCATATTTTTTTTTACTTAGAAATATTTATAATATTTTTGAATCACCTTATTATTGACCTAAAATATCCACTATCAATAATACTTTCTTTCCATCAACTAACTACTTTAATAAATTTTATTTTCAAATAATTTTTTTTTCATCCATAAAGTTTAAATCAGAATTTTATTTAAGAAATTCGATTGTAATTGTATTTGGACCAACCAGACAAGCACATGTCGGTTTACTTTTCACAATTTTCAGATTGCATTTGGTATGGAATTTATTTTTTTTATTCTCAAATTAAGTAGTTAAGAGTAAAATTCCTAAAACGTTGCAGAAAAAATAAGATTCCTAAAAAGTTTTTTTTTTTGTAAAGAGATTCCTAAAAAGTATTTAGGAACATGTTTAATTATTAATTTGTTTATAGTTAATTGCTACAAAACTAATAATTTTTCCGTCAATAATTAAACGGTTTTATTTTTTTGTTTTTACTTATTTATGAATAAATATTTGCAATTTGCACTTTAAAAAATATTTTTATTCTCTTTAATAAAAAAAAAAAACTTTAGTTTTCACGTTTCCTTTCGAGTAATATTAAAAAACATTCCTAATATTAAAGATTATCTTAAGACGAATGAATATTAAAAAACATTCCTAAACCCTAAACATTTATTACTTTTTAGTATTCTTCCTTTTATTTTTATCCCTCTTATTTTCAACTTAATCCACTCTATTTTAGAGTGAATGAATATTGTTGCCCGCAAATACTCTCCTTGACAGAAAAAAAAAGCAGCAAATATACTCGTCACGTCAACGGGGGCATGTTCGTCATTTAAATCCGAAAATATAATAGTCAAAGGGACTTATGGTATAGCGCCACGAAATCCGTTTTCACTTTCTTTGATAACAATAATCCATGACTTTTTTATTTATTTAATAATTTAAAAAGAATCCACAGTCTATGACCTTTTCAATCCCGTCTTCTTTCCCATGCTTTATTTATATTAAGGATAAAATAGTTTATAAAGAAATAGAAAACAAAAACAGGATGAAATAATGTATTGCTTAGATAAATAAAAAATCAATATTTGCTTTCCACTTATTTTAATGAAAGAAATTGAGAGATGATAAAAAAAAAATTTCATAAAAATATGTTTATATCAATTGATTTTTTTTACTTTATTAATTTTTAAAAGAAAAAGTAGCATTATTAGGATTTATGAAAAAAATATTATCAAAATTAATCATTTAACAATAATTCATGTGCTCTTTTCATCTTTACTCATAACTAAATATTAAAATTGGAAGAAATGTAATATGGCAGGCCTCACAAATTTTAACATTTTTCTTAAATTATTCAAATAAAATTTTCTTTGAATGAAGAATGTCAACGATACATTTTTTTAAAAAGAAATTTTAGTTTAAGTCCTTTATATATAATTGGTATTATTTTTTTAATTATAATTAAAATTTTACTTCAATAATATACACTTATAATTTTATTTAAAATTTTACTTTGATAATATATACAGTAAAAATCAAATTTTGATTAGAGAATAATATTAAATATATAAAAAATTATATTTAAATTATATTTTTTTAAATACATTCTTTAATAGATTGAAATTTATTAAAAAATATAAAATTTGATAAATCTCCTATTCTATTTAATTTTATAATTTTTAATAAATTTTTATCAATAAAAATAAATATATTTAAGAGTGTGTTATTACGGCTTATATTTTCCTGAATTACCCAAAACAAAGTAAATATATTTAAGAGTGGGTTATTACAGCTTATATTTTACTAAATTACCCAAATCAAAATCAAACTCTCTCTTTCTCCTCAATTGTCAGTCATAAAAACTTTTCTCACCTACCCAACTAGCTGCACCGTGCAATTCACACGTGCAGATCCATCTCAACCATCAATTCCCCAAGTCAATAACACCCGCTTGATCAAAAGAATCAAACGGCTCACAATCATCTACTAGAACTTTCTCCGTTTCTCCTCATTATTTATATCTATCTTCCCCTCCACTCCACTGCCTCATCACTCCTGGCTTGTGCTCTCCTCGTGCCACTAGGGTTACCTTCTCCATTTCCATTTCGCTCTCAAGTTTCAAGGTTCGTTCGCTTCCTTCGCCGAAATCGTTGATTACGGTTCACGATCCACATTCTTATCGGTTTAATTTTTTCGATATTTCATTTTTTCGCGCACGATGAACTGTTATGTGACGGTTTACTTCGACTGTTGTTCAGAATCGTGAGCCATGGGAAAGTCTTACCCTACCGTTAGCGCTGATTACCAGAAGGCCGTTGACAAGGCGAAGAAGAGGCTCAGAGGCCTCATCGCTGAGAAGAGATGCGCTCCTCTAATGCTCCGTATAGCGTATGTTAGCCTCTCTCTCTCTCTCTCTTAGTTTTTGCGCTATATCACTGTTTCATACGATTTTGAGTTATAGACTGTCGTTTTGATGCGTTTCGATGCGTTTTGTGTGCAGGTGGCACTCGGCTGGAACCTACGACGTGAAGACGAAGGGCGGGGGTGCCT